TTTGTAGCGAGACTAGGCGATGGCTTAGTTAGAGGTCCCGCTATCATATAACATCAAAATCTCGTCACCCTTAATTTGATCGATGCTTTCAAACAAGGTGCCTGCTCAAAACTCTCATGTAATGGCTAGCACATGTTGTTGTATATGGCAGAGCATGGATCTTTCAATGTTATACAACATTATATGCAAGTGTGTGCAGATTTGACACCGAGAACGATGGGCTGAGTGGACAACGAAACGGTTTTACAAAGGTTTGAAAGCAAATGTTGCAAACATGACGAAGGAGGTTGAATGTGTGAAACATACAAGCTTGGTCAAGTGATTTTAGCTAAATTACATCCATGTTGAAGAGTATGCAAGGTTTTGAAAGAAATCTCGCAGTGATGAAGGAAAGCAACAATGTTAATTTCACACTGTTGGCACGGACAGCATGATAACGTCGCAAATACCTAAAAAGACAGCGAAATTCTCGTAGTGCCTTTTTAGTCATCATTGAGGATGCGCGGCTAGATCGCTTTTTGACAGTAAAGAGCGAGACTGTTACGATTTCGAGATTTAATAGCAGTGTAGATAACATCGATGCGGCTTTACGGAACGTAAGAACAGCCCTTGGCTATATATCTTCAAGCCAGCATCTACTCTCATGCTGTGACATTAATAGTATGTGAAGCTTCGCAAATTGACTAAGTTTCTAAAGATTGCTTTGACGATAAGCGTCTAACAGCCTATAGATAAGTGAGCTTTCCGCCTAGAGTATTGTTCAGCATGTGGTAGATATTATTTGGGTAAATTATAGAGGTTCGATGTTAATCAATTGCTTGCTTCTGTGATTTTCACCGTCTTCAGGTAATATATAGACTTAGAATTACACTTTGGAGCGAATTCGCGATCCGTTCGTTATCTTACTGTAGAATTACTGTATGAACATTCAGCGCACAGGCGCCAGTCTGAAATAGGCCGTTTGATGAGAAAATTCCAAATTAATCCGAAAAATTGTGTAGCAGGTTTCCACGCATGCTGATTTCATGACACAATTTAGTACAAGTTTTCTGAGCATTTTAGTGGTGTAGTTGCATTACAAAAACTGTGAAAAAGTTGTTACTGTTTCCCTGGAATAACTTCTGAAGAATGCTTGATTGTGGTGTGCAGATTTCATATCTGAAACGCGACTCTCATTAGCCTAGTATAACAGTTTTAGGCTTGTTTGGTTTTTTTCGACGCAAAATGTAACTCTTGACTGCTTGAAACCTTCTTCAAACTTACCTTTATAACAAAGAAGAGAAATCGGAATGCTCCATACTGTGAATCTAAGCTAAAGCCTCTATGGAATGGTACCTAAAAATCGCCAAAAGACATCGAAGCAAGAGAGTTATTAACAATTAAACAGACCGAATTTTTTGGGACACTGTATATCAAATAAAATTAGGTTGGCTCGAAAGTTCTTGCGTAATTCAAACGAAATTCAATAGCTTTTCAGGTGTTCAACCTAAACTCATAATGGGGTATTCTAAAAATAGTAGAAGGTTTGCGCTCCATAATAGATGTTCAAGCGTAACATTCTATCCACCAAGGACGAAGCTTTCAACGATGGCGTTCCAAATTTTGTTTCAATTTGGGCTAGAAAATCGCGGAGGGCCGCTAGGTAGCCCAAAAAAATCTCAAAAATTTCTTACATGGCAAAAGTTCATATGTCACTTTGGCATATTTCAGTCTCGTATGGAAATGCAAAAACAAAAATCTGTGAAAAAAATGTCATTTTACAGAGAAAATCCCCTCATTACTGCACTTTTTTAACAAAAAACGCTTTTTAGCGCTCCAAAAAACGTAATGTTGCGAATAGGCACTATGTATGATTTCTGGCTCCAAACTGTGTTTCTGTGGAAAAACCTGCGATATGGGGATTTATCCTGCAAAATGACAATTTCCGCAAATTTTTCGGTCTTGCATTTCCATATGAGATTGAAGCATGCCAATGTAACATATGGACTTTTGCCATGTAAGAAATTTTCAAATTTTCTCTCGGCTAGCTAGCGGCCCTCCGCGATTTTCTAGCACCAAACTCATAAGGGCAAAATTTGAAACGCCACCTTTGCAAGCTTCGTTCTTGGTGGTCAACGCATAGAATGTCACGCCTAAATATCTAATATGGAGCTCTTACCTTTTACTATTTTTGGGATAGTTAACTATAAATTTCGGCTCACCACCTGGAATATTACTGGGTTTCGTCTGAATTAGCCAAGAACTTTGCAGCCAACCCAATATTTTAGATTGTCACATAATTTCTGCTACACTTTCTTCGTAAAATTCTGAAAAACTGGGGTAACCCTCTAGAATCTTCAAATTTGCTCGATATGTAGGACACGACGGCGTACACAACAGTATGACTGATGTCGTAAATGCCAAATAGCTAGCAAGTCTACGACAACTTTGTAAGTACGCTCAAAATTGTCATTCTTTCTTTATTTTTTCCTCTGCGCTGATTAAGTTATTTCTCTCCTATAATTTTTTCAATACATATGCACTGTCTCTTTTATGGCTGCACTCGAAAAAATTTTTTTGTATGCAGCGTGCAGGGTTTGATACAGAGAGGTTGGAGAAATTTTTTGTAAAATTTTGAAAATCGTTTCTCATGTTAAAATGCCAATGTGCACTGACATGGCACAACATGTAGCTCACGTGATCGTGTGCGGGCATGCTCCTCCTATATTCGCTAAAAACCATGGATCATACCCTGCCCGATCAACAAATCGCCCAATCTCTCCCTGATCACCTGGAAGAATGCCAGCCCGTTGAAAAGGTCTATAAAATGTACTTCCACCAATAAAGTGGACGTTTTGCGGACGCACCACGGATCTGACAACACCGGTGGGTAGACCTTTGCGCCCGTCAATACTTCTTGAACATAAGCATTTTCGAAAGGTTTTTATATTTTTAAGAAATCAAAATAAGGAACAGAAGTTATCCGACAGCCTAAACAATTTTAGTGAGCTAACAAGGGAAGGCATCTCTTAGATTGTTCTTTCGGATAGAGGCATATATGGTTGAAACCAAACTCAGACGCTGATTCCAAATATGCTATTCCTAGTTGCGGCACATTAGTCTGAAGCATTTTGAGCTTTTTATCTGTGCGAAATTGGCATACTATCCAACATGGGAATGCGCTCGATGTGATACTAAATAATATCTGATTGAGTCATTTGTCGTTGACAAGAAACTTAGCAGTAAAATCATAACTTGGATGATGATACTGTAGTGCAAAGAATTCAGGAGCATGCAAGTTCTGCAAGGAAAAAGATCAGTAACTCGTTTTAAAACGATGTCCCGCAGGTAGCAGCATATTTCGAATCAGCATCTGAAGCAGATTCCTACCATATACTTTCTATATAAAGGGCCAATCTAAGTTGGATGAGATTCCTGCTAAGAAAAATATAGCCCAAAGAGAACAACAAATTATTTCGTTATCATATAGATTATGATAGCACAGAAAATTTTGGAATTTTTTAGTGCACTTATTAGTCCGTGTAGCCGTGAAAATTTTTACCCCAGCGGCCGTGGTTCTAGAGAAAGATTCGAATTCTGCAAATCTCCGGCACTTCGCATAAGGTTTCTCGAATTTTCGCAAAGGCGAATTAGTGAATCTGACCGTCAAAGTGATGCGTTGCAGACAACATTAATAATGAACAATATAAACAATAATAGTTCAATATAAACATTTGGTAACTTCATTTACCCATTCACAAGTTTTGAAGCGGCTTTATGGTGGAATTAAAACAGTCAGAAAGTGAGTCATGCTACTTTTTTTATAAATTATACTTAACCATAATAAAAAAATTTCTCAAATACAAACTTTCTACTTGGTGCTGGGTCTTCCTTCCTTACTGAGGAGTTCCGGGGAAGACCCAGCAAACTCAAACTCCGTCTATGGGAAGGAACGAAACGGAGTAAAAGTATAACACATACAGGTCATTTTTATTGTAATAAATGCGTCGCATAATATGAAAATAGGGATTTCGTGGCTTAATTCTTAACACATTCACAACAATACGACCCACCGGTGGGTCGTATGCTTTCTGAATTTTTTAATTTTGCTAGTTCACGGTGAAACTTTTGGGCAAACCGAGTAAACTTCTGTATACACATCTTGGTGTACTTCCCGAAAGATTAGCACTTCAGACCACAGGACCCATCAGTGACCTGAAAATATTACGCAAACTCAATTTTGCGAAATATGCTCTCCGAAATGGCAGTCATCGAAAAATCGGCCCTGTCGTGAATGTGTTAAGCAAATGTTGCCACTGTCGCGCCGCAGAGTATCTCTTCAATTTTGTACAAAAATTTCAAAATCTGCATGGAACCTTGCCATAACTCAAGGCTACAAATTCTGGTAGAATCTCAGTCGAAGCGTCCTCCCCCCCCCCCCTCCCCGCCTTGTATGTTTAAGGTACTACTACCTTACATCAGCGATAGAATATAAATAGCATATCGTAAATACAAAATGATTATCAACGACTTCTAGAAAGTTCTTATTATAAAAAAAATTTGGGGGAAGGGGTGGGAGGGAGGGTTCCGGAAGCTTGCGAACAGCCTCGCAAGGTCCTCGTAAGCGGCCTTCCCTTTCCAAAAATATTTTTTAAGATTTCGGCTGGGGCATCAGTACATCAGAAGAGGGGACAACAAGTAAAGACAACTTAGAACATTTCACATAGTGATGCGGTTTTTCGCGAATCCTTATATTATTAGTATCTTCGTACATGCGGAGCCTGGCTAAGCTCCGAAGTAAGATGCTCTGCAAATTATATCAAATTCGTCTCATTGTTGTAAAGAGCGCAGGAAGCGGCGTAGAATGATCTTACACAGATACCTTGCCTGAAAATGTACACAGCTATTTGGAAACCGCAGTTGAAAGTTTCAGATGATATTTCATCCGTCCGTTATGGGCAGTGCTCCAAACAACATATCCTAATGATGCTTTCTGAATGATAAAGCTCGGTTCAAACAAGGTGCAAAGCGCTCAAAGAGCTCGGCTCATCCGTGCGTTGGCTTCAGTGCCCATCCGTCTTCCTATTCTTTTCCAACATGTACTCAAGGAAAAATTTCATTTAGCGAGGATCAAAGATACAGAGATCATATTCCTAATTACACCATTCATGCTTTAGTAATGTAACATGTTTGGTCCAGCTAATGATGTTTCCGAGTCCTTTCGCACAGGGCCCGTTCCAGCCAACGATGAACTATGATAGAGCTTGTACCATCCGATCACCGGTTCTGAGCCCAAACGTAGGTCATCTAACCGAATCAAGGCAATACCCATAAATGTTTTTCTCTCCATTCTTCCGTAATCACCGAGAACAGTGATCTGAAACAGTTAGCAGTAGAGAGCGAGCAAGCGGGGGATGTTTGGACGCCCACCTGCAGCATCTTTCGCTTCGGACTATCATTAAATATCAAGTGCTGTTGGAAGAGTGGAGCAGTAGTTTTCCTGACTGGATTCGTCTTTGCCTTCGCCACACACATTTTCCCTTCCATCAAGTACACTTTGACGTAGGGAGCTAAATAAGCTATTATTTGAGAACTGCGGAGGTTCTAAAAGGATCCGCTGACTAACTCAGCAAACCAATTCTCTTTGCACTCCATTCCAATTGAAAAGTCTGTATCGATTGCATGGGACCCGCAATTGCAGCGCAAAGGTTTGCGTTACCTCTGCGCTGCGGCTGCGGGCAAAGCACTAACATTTTGCACGCCAAGATCGTAGAAAATGGGTAAAGTAGTTCCTACCGGCGATGCGCACATGCCCATTTCAGCCCACCATTAGATGTATCTCGCTTACACTCTACGTACAACACTGACCTGGACTCATCTTGACGCCAGGCTTGATCACAAGATTCTTTGCTCTAATGATTTCTACATCGATTCCCGAACGTCCGGCCATTATTCCAACTTGAATCTCTCCCAGCAACGGACTTGCGAGCACCTGCCGCCCGACCACTTGCCCTGGTCCGAGATTTTCGACGAACGTGCCAAGCGGACCGTCGGGGAGGACAGGTAACCAGCTATAAATGTGAGGAAGATAGGGTGCCGTCCTCCCCTGTTTTCATCCAAAAACTCACTTATCAGACCCTGAATCAGTGGATTCCTTGCTCGCTTGCTTCACAAACTGCTGCTGCTGTTGTTGTGCGCGATTGATGGACAAGTTCCCAGGTATACCCACTTCTTCGGACCGCAGAAAACCAGTACGTTTGCCTTCTGCAATTGATGAATACCATGAACGCCTAGCGCTAGCGCCTAGCGCCTAACGCCTAGCCTATTATAAAAGTGTTTGGTTTGAAGCGTTCTGTACTTACCGGTACCACCGGACTTTCCAGGGATGAATCGTGTCATTATACTTTTCTTGCGTTCTTTCATCGTCTGTCCTGCCATCGACATTTTCGGAGCACCGCCCGATGTCGACTGCACGTCCTCTGGTTGGTACTCCTCGACAGACGTCTCCTGTATGTCGTTCACTTCGCTCTCTGACGCAGGCCGACGATTTATGGTCCTGAAGCGTTTGAACGGAATTCAGCACAGAGACGACGCAGATCCACTTTGACTGACCTGACTGCAGGAATCGAATGTGCCGAATGAGTGCTCATGGTTTCGCTCCCATCCGACCCATATCCTTGTTGCGGATCCTGCTCCTGCATTTCAGCTGTTGTTTGACCGTTTATTGAACGCATATCGGACATTCCATATGTTAACATTCCTTGTGGTATAGTCCTGAATTTCAGAATAATCACAGCTGTCAAGAGGTGGACATCTAAACCTGAACACCTATACACTTGCGATGTGGCGAAAATTTCCTTTTCAGCAATTTGCCAATTTGAAAATATCACGATATAATTGCAGATGATAAATTATCTAATGTGTTCTGGTCATCTGCAATAAGAGCATCGAAGATTTACTCGATTTGATACGCATAGCTAATTCTTGTATGCAAAAATGCACGCAGAAAGGCTTATGTTTCCACAAAAAGGTGATCAATATCAAATTTAGTAAAGCTGATGCAAAAATATCAGAGGCTCTCTGAACAAAAACAAAAGAAATTTCTTTGCTTGGATGTCCTTGTTAATTCACGGCTGTCCAGTCAAAAGCTGAAAGCAAAATATTTGCTTTTCTTAGCGCCTAAAGGTGTCGAGAGCTCGGTCGAATGTATTTATCTTTTCAAGATGCTTCTATGTTATGAGAAAATGCCTCAATGCAAAAGAGAAAGAGAGTTTGGTACACGCTGTTTACTGTATATGCATTTGCTACGATTACAGTATATGACCAAACTTATGTGATAACACTCGACGAACCTTCCTTCTTGAGCAATGTCCACATCATTCCACAACGGTTCTGGTAGATTACTATAATAAGCCCTTGAAGCGCCCATCTCAGCAGGTGCCACTGTAAACCACGATTTGTATAGAATATGAAATGAGAAATTTCGAACGGACTCGGCCTCATAGCAGTGGCGCTTCTCGGACGACGTTGCCTAATTCTTTGACTTGTGTTGGGATAGTAGCAATGGTCGGAAAGATACCCGGAATGTGGTTGCATGTACCAGTCCTCATCCATTCTGAAAGTTCTTGATTGCTATTTGAATTTGTACTGAACATATGTTGAAATTACCTGGGTGAGGTACTCCTGCAATGGGACAGATCTGGTTTGTCATACGTCTTTGATCGTCGCATCGGTCCTTCAGGAGGAAGAGTGCGAGGATCAATGTATGGATCTAAACAACTTTGCATGATATCGCACGGCAAATAAAAATCCTTCAGTTATTATGCAAGAATGAAGCTAGCACTTAGTAGCACAAAGCGCAACAGATATTGCAAGTATAGTTGACAGTGAAGTAGAAAATGAATAACGAAGACTCACCACCACTACCACCTGGCGTTCTGTCATTGTAAGGAAAACTCATCTCACTTCGCGGTCTTTGATACGCTGAGTATTGTTTGCCTTTTCGACTTCTGAGCCTCTACAACGAATACAGTACCACAATCTCATATTACTCTAGCTGAAGGAACACGTACAAGCCTCAAAGGGTTCTCTTCATCCATATCTACAAGTGGCAATGTAACAGTTTGCCCATCCAAGGCCGCAGTGGAGAAATCCACAAGCGTTTCACCAAGGAAGGAATTCGCCTCAAACTTGTCGTAGTCCCATACCGTAACCTGAAAAGCACACGGTGTGATAAAATATGCTCATTAAGGGCCAAATACATTACCTCCAACACTCGTTCCATGAGCATGGGCTCGGTAATTCCCTGATAGTAGAACGACTCGTTCCAGACAGGTCGGATTGCTTCGGCCAAGACGGACGTTTGACGTCTGGACTTCTCACTGGAATGTCGCGGTGCTTTTGACTTTCACATCGTAGGAACTATTACGCTTACCTTCTGTCCGGCAGAAGAAACACTTTCACATAAGGATTTCTCGGGGTCCCATCAGAACGAGGGGGGAGGTCGGCTACTCGCTCTATGCACACTGTCAGCTGCCGCTCGATGTGCGAGAAATACAGGGAAATCTGGAAGGTTTTCTTAGAAAAAAAATGTAGCAGAAATTAGTTGAATAAACAACCTCGATTCTGCCAAAAATCTGCCCACGGCTGAAACTTTGTCCCTTGAAAGTTGGTACTCTTCGCACTGTAAAAGAACACCTCTGTTAGCAACAACAAGCAATGAAATCTACCTACTAGTCTCGTACTGGTCAGTGGGTATACTTGTGCGATATCGAGGACTCATTTGAGGACGAAGAGCAAGGGTAGCCGATTGTGAATGCGAGAGCGTTGGCAGCGGGAAGAGGGGAGAAGCAGACGGAGAAGCGTAGGCTTCATTTTCTGAACATGTCTTTTTTTATTAGTGCTCTCGCATCAGCTGAAGGGGAAAAGCATTCATCTTCCACTAATTTCAATTTGCCGAGGTGAAAAGCTCCTATGCGTTCCAAGCTATCTCATAAAGTGCTAACTTCAAACATTCAGTTCCAGATTCTAACTTATGAAAATGAAAAAAAAGAACCATTCTAATGAGAGAAGCCGGCAAAACAAAGAGTTTTTCCTCTCAAGTTTAATTAAATTATTTCAAATCTCGCTTTGCAAGTGGAAAATTAGACAGCGGATTTTCACGGATCTTCACGTGATTTCTACTATAAGCGTTGAAAAACAACGACTACACAGATTGCCGGTTGCCTTAAGAGAATCGGAATCAATGTGGCTAAACCACTAAAAGTAGCTGTTTACAGAGTTCAGCAAGGGGACGGCGTAGCTGGAAATATTTTTGTGGAAAAACAGCGTGTTTTGAAATGCACTTACGTGTCCTCACACATATCACACCATAAAAAAGCGAAGTTAGTGACTTGCTCGAACATGACGAACGAGTGAAGTTTAATGTCAAGTTTCTCCTTAGAACTGATTAACAATTGGCTCGTTTACGGCGCAGAGGCAATGATATGACACCAAATTTGATGCATATAGGCGCAAGGGGGTAATGAAGTTCAATACTGAAGGACGATTTGCGTTTTCAAAAATTAGCTGGATGTTCGATCACCTACTGCCCATCTGGGGTAAGCAATCTTAATTGTGAACTCCCCAAACCCTAACCTAAGCTTGCAAATATTTAGTAATGAAATGATTTTAAAATCCTGCTAATTTCTGCGATTCTAGGTAGCATCGAGAATCGCGGGTAGCGCGCCGGACAATAGTGACCAGCCGGCGTTTATAGGAAAACGATATAATGAAAAATGTGCAATGAATACGATAATGTGGAATTTACTTCCACATAATGAAAAAAAAAACACAATACCACTCAGAATTAGTCAATAAAGTCGCCGCGCAAACTATGCAGCCTCATAACTTCCTTCTGCGTAAAATATGAATCCGAATAAAAAATATTGTGCTCAGGAAGCGCGTACGATAGATTTGTAGAAATATGGCATATCGCCAAGTCGCGTGAAAGTGGCGATTAGTCGGAATCGCGTGAGGTATGCCTTAGGCCTTACGCGATTTCAGTCGCCACGCGATCTGGCAATTTGCCAGATGTCTTCAAATTCGATACTGGTAGACCCCAAAGGCACAGCACGTATAACTTTCGTAGGTTGATAAAATGCTTCATCTTCCGTACATATTGTTGAAGTATTGCCAAATCGCGTCGCGACTGAAATCGATTGAGGTATGTTTTCGGTAACGTGGCCATATCTCGCTTCAGAGTGGACGAATACTTAATCCAAGAATACCATTCGACTCAGCTCGGAGCGGCGCATCTTGTCCCAAAAAGATCCCACACTGTTTGATCGTCAACAACTCTCTTGCTTTCATGTCTTTCACCGAGATTGAGGTACCGTTCTATGCAACGAGATTTAACTTAGATTTACAGCATAAAACGAAATTCGTTACTGTAGGATTAGGATATAAACTTCCAGCATATAGCACCACTGCGAAGTAGGCCTTTTAATGAAAAAAATTCCAAAAAATCCAAAAATTTGTGTAGCAAGGTCTTCAGGCGTGCTAATTTCTCTATGACTTTCAATCAGTTTTCGAGCTTTTTTAATGGCGCAATCACATCTGACGAACATTGGAATGTCGCTACCATAAACCCGAAATAACTTATGAAAGAAGCATTACAGTAAGGTGCAACTTTCACATTTAGAATCAACGACTTTAATTAGTCCAGTACAGGAGTTTCTGGCTTGTCTGGTCTTCCTTCTGAGGCAAAAATCGCTTTCTATTCCCTAAACCCCCTCTCGAAGTTCCTACCGTTATCCTACAGTAATGATGATTGATGATTCGATCCATGCTGTAAATCTAAGTTGAACCTCGCTCTGCAGAATGGCACCTCAAACTCGGCGAAAGATGTAAAAATAAGAGAGTTATTGGCGATCAAACAGTGTTCACACTTTTTTGGAACACCCTGTATAAAAGTGCCACTTTGAAGACAGTGGGAGACAAGATTCTACGATCGTTTCAATTTTTTTGCTTGGTAGGTTGCCCAGTGAGTGCACTGAACAAGCACACTGAGTAACCTAATGTAAGCAAAAATCTGAAACGATTCGTAGAATTTGACTCCGTGTCCCAGCCGGCACTTCTATGTAGCAAAAGATGCGCCGCGTCAACTGAGTTGAATGGTATTCTTGGACTGAGAATTCGCCCACTCTGAATCGAGATATGGCCACGTTACGGTGATGTCACATGCAACGGACGACTGTGCGTCGTTTTTTACGAGCGGCGGGCCAGTAACTAGCTGGAGAGCTCTTCCGAAAAGAGAAAGAAGGACAGGTAAATTCTGGAGACTTCGTGTCTACTCCGGCGGAGTTCGGCGATGTGCCTCGACTTTTTTCACTGATTGTAGCGGTATAGTATAATTTTTCACAGGTGATCTTGAGGCTAAGAACTACATCAGGTATGTAATTCCCGTGGTGCCCCTTTGTCAATTCCCAAGGAAATACAAAATGTAAGATTTGAGAGTAGCTCCGAAGTGAAGTAAGAAAGAAAAATACGATTGCAAACTGATGTGTGTTTAATATATACTCAAGAAGATGGTAGAAAAATCAGAGTAATAATTATGAGGAGGATTGTTTTACCAGATGTTCAGCAACCAAACTCGTGCCCTGTCGTCTGTGGTATGATTTCGTCCAGATAGAGCATGCATACATACCTTCGCATAATAAATACTGAAGACTCGGAAGTTGCCTAGGCTGTGTTTGTATATTCAAGAAGTCATCTCCACCCGGTATGCTAAAATCCATTCCATCATGACTGGCTATGTTGGGGAAGCGATCAGAAATTACCTCGCCGATCTGCTGACAATAATTTCTACGTGCGACTCTTGCTTGCTGGCCGAAATGATCTCGTATACTTGATCAAAGGTTGCATTCTGGAGAGCCTGCCCATTCCATTCGAGGACTTCGTCTCCTACGAACGATAGCTCTGCTATGGCAGGATATGAATAATAACACTGATGATCGTGTACCAGCTCTAAGTCTTCCTATTGTGTCCGCCACGCTTCCTGGTTTGACCCGTGTGATGAAAGCTCCTAAGCGACCAGTATCAGTGCGACGTCCACCTACCACCTGAAATGTCTTTAAATTATTGATGCGATTTGCTTTTCATCAACGAGGCCCTCAGAGTGATAAGATGCCGATTCACTCTAGAGGTCCGCAGCTGCGTCTATAGTTGCTCTATGCATCATCGTGCCGATCCTGTGCCGGCACTGTGCCGACACAGATGAATAATAAAACAAGGCAAGGTGTAAATACAGGTCATGCTCATCTCATCTCTTAAATGTTCTCTCTTTACTCTCGAGCTAAGTTTCGCCTAACTACGATATAGAATGTTATAGAACGACACGATGCAAAAATTGCACACCTTGAGCCCAAGATCTCCAGATCTTGAGTTGTCTGTTTTAGTTAGGACCATGTGTCCGATTAGTCTACGTTGATCTGCAGATGGCTGCCACGTTACAGGATGCTAAAGAAGTTCATGGACTAAGTTAGAAGCGATAAATTAAATGATCAAGAGAAACCTACAGAGAGATAAGTGCGAATTTTAGCAGCGAGCAGATCTCCAGGGACGAGTGTAGCAGATGGTTCACGCGGTGCAGGTCGAAACTCGTCCGCTGAATGTCGTAACTGGAGAAATCCACCTGCGAGAGAGGTAGTTAGAGACCGGTACTGTTGCAAGAAAGCTGGGTTTTTTTGTGAAAGCATGCAAAGAAAAGTGAACGAAAACGCACTTTTACGACTGTTCTTCATCTTCTCCGAACCGTAGATGTACCGTAGCAGATCTGAGATCATTTTTATTAGTGTAGAGGGCTAGGGTGTCTGGTGTGACCTTCCAATAACCTACACAAACCCTTTTCAGAGACGCATTCACCCGGCGTTCGTTGGGTGTCTTCGTCGTAGGATAGGGTGGATGGCAAGTCTTCTTCAGACGATGACATCGAATGGGTTTGCCTGCAAGAAGTAAGGAGCAATTATAAAAACTATTTTTGTGGAAGAAGTGGCTATGGTTCTCTACCTATGTAGCCGATTCTTCCTAGAGCGTTGCACTCCCCCTGACATGTGAGATGACTGAGATTCGGCTTGCTTTGGCCCTCTCCACGACCCGCGGCGAGTATCGTCCTCTCGAGCCGACAACGACGTCGGAAGTTCTGCCGAAGATTTGGTATGATATTTTGGAAACAAAATAAGAAGTTCTGCCGAAGATTTGGTATGATATTTTGAAAACAAAATAGTTTTGGCAAACTTACTGTCTCTATGGCCAGAAGTCGTTTGCATTGGCTCGTAGTCAGGCACGGGTAACCTAAAGATCAAGCTATCAGTGGTTGGTAAATTGTGTATAAGGTCGAACACATTATAATCATTCATCAAACGACTAATTGTTCAAAAAGACTTGGTACAAAATTTGCCTTTATAGAGATTCCCAAATTCACAGCGGCAGCACCTATTTCGATATTTCAAGCAAAATCACAAAAAAAGGTAGCTGAAAGAATCTATACGGATTTATACGATTGCATTGAATGCTACGAAATGAATTATGAATGGATAAATAAATTGTTACAGATCATATATCAAATTATTTGGGTGCAACACCATGCATATTCGATAACTTCTGCAGATAAGAAGCTGTTTGCTCTTCCTGTCTAAGCTTCTGCAAAATTTCACAGAGTTTGGTGTCGAGCTATAAAAATGAGCTCTACTTGCTTAAAGCTTGGATTATTTGTCTTGAAAAGTGATGAAATGATTCTGGTTTCAACAGTTTCGTAGAAATGTGATGAATCTACTATTCTTCCTCTTTTTACTTTCAAGAAGATAAATGAGATACTCGTACCTCCGTTCATCCTTAGTGGTTGCCTTAGACGGAACTAGGTCATCCCGGAGGTCGCCTCTGAACGATATCAGTTTTTCAAAGAAAAAAAAACTCCTAGCAAAGGAAGCAGCTAGGGAAACAACAATAACAAAAACAAAAAAGTGAAATTATTGCCAGAAAAATACCTGTTCGTTTCGTCAAAACGGTTTTCAGGCTCCGTATAGAATATGGGGCGATTCTCTTTATGCCTAAACTACCTTCATTCACCGCTATATTCAAATTTCTACCAAATAAATGAATAACAGAGAGTTCAGGGTTTGGACATTTGTCATACCGTTTCTCGTCCCGAGCGCGAGCACTTGAGGAAATCCGCTTGTCCTGTCCTTGCATGACATTCAAAGCTTCGTTCTGCTTTTCCAACATGTTCGGTCTGAAAATAGTGATGTAGTCGCATAAAGGTCCCTCAGACTGTCTGCTACAGAATGCTACATCATACACACACTGTCTGATGTATTCTTTCCACTTCTTTCTATTTGCATTTAACAATATCAAAATTCTAACACAGGAAAGCTTTATTGTGATTGCTCATGAAACAATGCCGGGGGAGCCGTCCTGAGACCATAACAGATTACGCAAGATTATGACATGATTTTCGCTCTCAAAAATATGAATTATTTCTGATTATGTGCGACAAACAGCGCGACAAAGTAATTGTGACACTGTCATTTTTCCAGCTCTTTTGTTTCTGCTGCAATGACGAGAAAACAAAAAGATTTTGTGATTTCAGTCTCCGATTTCAAACCGGAGACAATTTCGAGAAAATCAGAATGTTTTAAAATAGCTGAGAAAAAAAAAACTGCAGCTGCAGCAGCTAACGGATTAGTACCGACTATGCAACCATTGTTTCGTAATTTTAAACTTATTTGAAGATGATAGATGATGATCAACTGTGTGTGCTTTCGTCTTGATTTACGGTTTGATTGGATGTCAAAGTTATAACTCATTGTTTCATAAAGTGCATAATCAAGATTTCTGAAGGCTTCCATCTGCCTAATATTAGGTTGGTGCAAAAATAATGAGCGTTTTCCTAGGACTTTATTCAGGACAACGTTTCTCCATCAAACTTTTTTCTTTGTAACGGTTTCAGCACATTGTTAGAAACCACTTTTCATGCTCTATCTAATGATGTTTAAGAGGGACTTCTAGCCCACTCTGTTGAGAATTTATAAGCTTCAAATAATCGCACTCAAAAACCAGATATTCGTTGCATTCATTTTTCTGGCCAGAATTTGAGCGCAAACGAAGATGGTTTATCGAAAATTTAGCCGCTATGTTTGATGGAAATGGTCTACATTATGCATATTTAACCATATTTTTTGAAGTTATCTAAAGTGAGATATCGGCGGCTGAACATGAGTAATGGTTGTGGGCATGAGTAATGGTTGTGGGCATTTTGGAGCCCATAACTTTCTTTTGTAGAATGCAGTCGCTCACTTGCTCATCTCTGTAATCGTGAGGGTAGGAGTCCTATTAGCAGTTTTTGCAAAAACATCCAGCTGTTCAGTACGCAGAAAATTAGAAAATTCTATACTTCGGGGTTTTGAGGCCTACTGAAAAAATGCTGAAAATGTTGAAATTTTTGAATTTCGATTTTTCCCTCTTCGCTAATCTTTTTTCTCCAAGCCCTCCCCAGGTATATTTGTGCTATTGGCTTGCGGCTACAAGATAGGCTGCTTTTAAAATATAATAACCAAGTGTGAAAGGAGTTAAGTTTTGTCAAAAACAAGACTTCAAAAAAAAGGTTTTTTGTTTTCCAATCCATATTTTTCCGCCCATATGAGATGAGAGTATAGGCCAATGTGCGCTGCACTGCGAAAAGTTCGCTGCATCTGATGGACTTTATCGCATTTCAAAACGTAGATTTTATAGAAAGTTATAACAAGTTAAATTAAAAAATGGGAAAACACTCATTATTTTTGCACCAACCTAATACTACCCTTTTCTACTCAAGCGATAACGTCTTAATTTCAGCTAAATTGAAGTACATCCCAAAAAACATGCACACATTGCACTAAATCAGAACAAAGCCGCGTCGCTCTGTCAGCCAGTTCGTAGTGAAAAATTAGCAATCCATTAGGGTGTTTCTTGAAGCTGCTGAGTTCGAATGGATTCGGGCATTCTGCCGTCATGCTGCGATTCCAGGCACAGCGATTTCTTATAAGTTGTTAGTACAAATGTTAACAGAATTGACTGAGAAGTCTTATCTTACACAAAATCTATCGCTGAAGAAAAATTCTAACAGTGAGCTCCACGTAAGCAGTTATTTTCTGTGATAATCGAATCATCAAAATTGAAGAACACGTTTCATTGTTAGTAAGAAAATGGAACATACTCGATGCAATGATTTGAAGGGCACTTAATTGCAGTTGAGTTCGAATGGATTCTTCCTAGTGAAAGAAGGGGGAGGAACCGATGGTTATTTAATACGTACATAAAGCTAATGGTAAGCGAATGGTGTCAAGAAGACAGAACGAAGATTTTTTAGAACTTGACTGCGTCTCTTGAATTCTAATAAGGTGTTCAATCAGTTCTACCCATTTTTTAATTATTAAAAAATGCGAATGCAAGAAGCTAGTTTGAGATAGATCACCTGTTTTGGCGCAGCCAGCGCGCTTCCTACAGAAGAACATCCATGTTATAAGAGAAAGGCAGTTGGAAAAGAGCAAAGTTCAAGTTCCATGTTAATCCCTAGTCCCCTAATGTTAGTTCCCTAATAGGCAGTCTAAGGGCCGCATGCACTAACATCCCCGCGGAAAGGGGATCGCAGCTCAAAAGAAAGCTTTATATTTCGAAACTCCAGATACCTGGATTTCACGTTGTGTACCTATCCGTAAGTATTCCTACTACCCTTCACTATGAACATGTTGAAGAGGAGCGAGAAGCTGTACGAACCGCATTTTCCAGCTTTTGTATGATCCCTGACGATCCCCGGCGCTTTTCTTCAAAGTCATTTTTCTTTCTCCGAAGTTAACGAAAAACCTCCAAAGTTGTGCAGATTATCCAACCCGACAGTGCTAAGCATGTCGTGATAAGAACAAATGATGTTGCAGTCATGAAATTTTCGATGATCCACAGGTCGAAATTTGAGGTTTACCGAAAAATTCGACTTTTCAAAAACTCATCTGTTCTCATCAGCAACATGCTTAGCACTGTTGTGTTAGATGTTCAGTACAGCTTTGGAAAAAAGAAAAGCGCCGGGATCATCAGGGATCATACAAAAGCTGGAAAATGCGGTTCGTACAGCTTCTCGCTCCTCTTCAACATGTTCATAGTGAAGGGTAGTACGAATACTTACGGATAGGTACACAACGTGAAATCCAGGTATCTGGAGTTTCAAAATATAAAGCTTTCTTTTAAGCTGCGATCCCCTCCCCAGCGGGGAGGTTAGTGCATGCGGCCCTAAGATTGTCACTAGACATTACCAGAATATCGTTGACTGAGAGCAACTTTTAATGGAGATATAGATAAAACAATTTAGGTCGATCTAATAGCAGAACTCTTCGAAAGCCTTGTATTTTTTCCTTACTCATACACCATTCTTTTTTTCTAGAGTCCGTGGTAAGAGAATACAATAAAGAAAAACTTGAAGATTTTACGTGATCCACAACCATGCCTTGAGGGAGCACTGAGAATTATAGAGAAGTTGCATATAGGAGGATGTGGGACAAGTAAGGACCTCAGATGCAACAATTCATCAAAAAGCTCATTGATAAATTGCACCCGCGACCCAGCCGTCCCCTTAAGTGATGTAAAAAGCATTCTAGCTTTCGAAAGCATATGCAAAGCTTTTAGAGCGATTTTGTTCCTGATAGCAACAGATTTTGCGTTAAAATTAGACAAACAATACACTACAAGAATATTATTGGCAGCAAAGCGACAGGGAATCGCTTAATTTTGAAAAGAGCAAAGTTCAAGTGAGATGTGCCGTAGGCAATAGAATAACGCAAACTGTAAACAAAGTCTATACCTCTGTTGTACAAGCGGCTCCACTCGGTTCACATCTTGTCGGGAGGACACGTTCTGCATCTGCGCCGATCCGCCATTTCCATGCTGTCGCCGTTGCTCCTGGGAATATATAAAATCATAAGTGAATTCTCTCTATAAGTAGCTCTAAGAATTGCGCTTTAGAAGAGATATGACTCTGACTATGCTTTCATCTTCATCAATAAAATAAATTATATTCAGATAGTTGGTAACTTCGGTAACAAAATTTTAAAAGTATAAAATATCTTTTTCGGTGCCCCAGCATTATGGATAATAAATGGTTGGTAAGACTTTCAGCAAAAAAGATAAGCGAAACTAGTTATTTCAGATTTCGAATAGAAGCGAGATCAAGAAGTCAGATCGATAACATATACAGACAAGGTACGTTTGCAAGCAATTTTTCTTTGGCTCGAGCAAATCTAAGATTTCACATGAAAACTCATGAAATGATGGGAAGGCAACTCAGCAATAAAGATGCATAAACTTGAATGTCACTGTTTCTGTTCCATAGAGAATCGTTTGAGTTCTCGTGTTACCGTCAAGAAGAGATCAATAACTTCACACATACCTCTGAAAGACTTGGTTGCCTTTGCAAAGTGTTTTGCCGACGAATGTTCTCGTGCCTCTCTTCTGCTTTCATTGATGGTTGACCATTTGTAGGCATTTCCTGCGCTGTAAGGATGTGTTAAATATCAGCAAAAAAAAATTTTTTTGCATCTTCCGAAAGTTGGTTCTGCTGTTGCTCTTACATCTTTGAAATCATTACTGCAATTTTTACAGGTCCTTTTTATACTATAGACGATCCATCGAAGCAGAGATTTGGCGCTTTGGGTCCGACTAAGATAGTTCGAGTTAGAAAGAGACGGCAGATGGTGATGGGAATGAGAGAGCGCTCAATTAGAGAGACGCCGACAGCGACCGCAACTGCGATCTGTCTCTGAGCAGCGATTCTACTGCACAGGTTGGGAAAAAATTCAGTACAAGATTTATTAGAATTACTCAAGGGAATCAAAATAAAATGAAAATTATACTAATGATTTACCTTGTGGCTGTTGTTGTTTAGGAGCTGGTCCCATAGGGAACATAGGAGGAGGAGCTTGCTTTTGAGGCATAGCAGCCTTCAAAGGTGAAACACTGGAGATTTTTTACGACGCGAATGTTCGTATTACCTTGTTGTTTGCTCTACTCGTGTCCGCAGTTTCAGGATGTGGCAATGGATGTGCTGCAGCGGCTGCACTGGCCGGCTGCGATGGATGAGGTGACGATGGATGAGAGCTGAATGATGCGATGGAATTCATGATTTGAGACTGGCTACTATGAGCAAATCTAAGTGAACCATGTGTGAACACGAATGTGAGATTTGTAGAACGTACTATTCCATATCGTCAACCCCTAGCAAGTTTCAAGATCACTCAATACGCTTGGGATAAAATGAAATCACCTTTACAGCAAATTATAAATTTGCAAGACAGAGACACGATTGAAATAAATTTCAGACAGTGATTTTTATAGTCTTGGAAAGTTATCAAAATAGACCAGAATGTAATAAACATTTCAGGAACTTATTCTGGTCACCAATTGTAAGTGAACATTTGCGGTAATATGTCTAAACGTCTGATCCAATTAGAACTTCACAAAACGGTAATGCGATAATTCTTAGCAATAGTTGTTGAGCAAACCAAAACGTCTCATGCCTCACATTACTCAGTTTGTTAGCAGTTTTTTGATATCCTACCTATGAATATAAATCAGTCTCCTGCACGAGCGCGAAAGTAAGAAGAAGAAGATTAGCAACGGTAATTAGAAGAACAGAAAAAACTGACATTATCGAGATATGTGAAAGCGAGAAAAACTAGCAGTGAAATACATAGCGAAGAAAAGGGAAATGTGAAATGGCAAAATGTTAGCTGGTAAGAGAAAGAAACGCAGCTCGGTCTCGGACATGATACTGGAAAGGAAGGAGGAAAAGGTGGCCCTCGTGATCAAAACAATTTATTTTTCACGCCCTTAGCTACTAAGCTAACAAAAATTCTTGTAGCTGTATTTTCAACTTCATAGCTTGAAGTGGTAATCTTCGCGAAAATGTCACCTCATACTCTGTGACGGACTTTCGCGACCAGCGTTACTTGTCTTGTGCTGAGCTTCATCCGGCTGGAACCATTTCCCGGTTTTAGCAAGAATTTGCTGACGTTTCTGACATAATGAGCATGCCCATATTGCCTAAAACTTTTAACAATTAATATAATATAATTCAAGATAAAACCGGTTGTCACCTTGTTCTTGCTCTGAGAGCGCCCACCACATCGAGCACAGCTTCGCAGCTGGCAATAAAAACATTTGTGACCTGAATTCAGAAATTTCTGTACAAATGTAGAATTTCAAAGAAAGCCAAGAGAAATCAGGTATGATACTTACCTATACCATCGGCAAACTTTGTTCGCTGGCAAATTTGACAAATAGCATCGTCGTGTGTCCCAACGAGCTTTCGAGCAATTTCTTTTCTTTCATTTATTTGTTTTTCGATCTGGTCCAACTCGGCATCCGCTTTCCTGGAAAACATCACATGCTGAAGCAAAGTTTTAGTCATTTACGAAATCTCACAACCTCAAGTGAAACTGTTGCCTTGAAAATAAATAAGCAAGTCGAAAATGAGTTTTTTTCATTTTTCATGATGGTACACGCTGCTTTCTACTCTCTATACTTCTAAGCTACTATTTAAGAGCAACTCTTTTACTACCCGTACCAGATCTGACTCGTTTGAGTGTACGTCAATGAAATGAGCTATGAAGTGAGTGGTTCCCAATTATGATTGAGTCTCCAAGCCGATCGATGTCCCATGGATGGATACATATGCAACAGAAGGCAAAGTAAATCGCTTTCCAGGCCTCGTCATTCTTTGAACAACTTTTGCAAAAGATGATTTCGAAATGCGTAAGGCAAGTCCGTTTTTGAATTCACGTACACAACACAAATATATCTCGAGGGATGAAAAGCATGAAAAGCACGCAATATGGAAGTTATCATAGGCTTGTCAAAAAATATCCTACGTTTTCCTGAACAGCAAGACATATAACAACCTTTAGATAGTCAAAATAAACTTTAGATCAACTGAGAAAAAACGTGATCATCTCAGCCACTGCTGTGATCGCGAGCAAATTCTATAGAAACCTCAATCAAAGCATTTTCCATATACAAATTACTATAAAAAATTGTATAAAGCTGTAACAAAAATAAATACAACTAAATTGTAACTCACTGCGTAAGCTGGACTTCCTTCGCTTCCTCATCCTTTTGCCGTTTGAATACTTGCTCAATAATTTCTCTCTCTTCAGCAGAGAGATGTGATAGATCGGGAACTAGTGAAGGGTCATCCATGCTTTGGAGCTGTAAATAGCCGTACTGGCGTAGTTTTTCAGAACTAATTTCATGCCACTTACTCCTTGCTATCAGTGCCCGCAGCTACGTCCCGTCTTTAACGACTATTAAATCCGAGATTGTCATGAGCAAATAAAACTTGCAAGACTATTTTTGCAGGTCTAAAATGGGAGCGTTGTAAGAGAGTTCGGGTAATATGTAACATTCATCAGTATTCGGGTAAAGACGGTATCAGTGCAAAAAAAGAGAAGGAAAAAGGGTCATAATGCCAAAAATTTGACTGAATGAGCGAGTTTAAAGTCAGAAGAAGTTTGAGCCACAAAAATGCATGAAACCTTAAAAAGTATCGAGATAATAATTACGCATGTATATCACGATTTGAAAAGACAACGAGATAAAAAGAAATCCTTATGCTTGAGTTTAGAAAAATGGCGAGAAAATAAGTCGATTATCGACTGGAGATGAAAGATGAAGCGGCCGAGACATATAGAGGACCTGCATTCGCAAGTACATTGATGATGAGTTCGGAAAAATGACTTGAAGCGAGGCAGCGACATGCCCAGAGTAAACACATCCATGTATCTGCGCACCGTCGATGCGTCAACGACTCCGAACAGAGCTTAGGCGAGAAAAGCCTGACGTCAGTGCCAGTTCATCTACTTTCTTCTCTGATTATATCTCAGTCTCGTACACTCTCTAACGTTCCCAGCTTCTGTCAAGAATTGCAACTGCTAAGTTTGCGGAAACGTTCGTCGGAAACTAAATGATAATCAGCATTATTCAGTCGTCGATAGTGTCAACATTTCTTTTAGCACTTACAACACGAAAACTAAGAATTAACTGAAAATTCGGAAAGACGCTCATCAACACTTTTTTATTTGAAAAAACCACTTCTTGCTAAGTTACCCTGTTTTGTCTCAATTACTAAGCTAAAAGAGTACATATTAACATGACAGAGAATAAAATTAGTATAGTCTGACCTTTAATGAAACACAAAGATGTCTTCGTCACTATTGAGGTTGCCTGGCACGGGAAAGCAAGCAATCAATGAGAGTTTTTTGTCGGCCTTCAAAAGGTTTCTATTAATCAGAGAGTGTTGGCAGTACGTGGGTTTCTGTGAGATGTACACAACGCATGGCTTCCCAGCCCTGGGAAGGAAGCACATTCGTTCGTTCGAAAGTTCGACAATCGATTCCAGGTCTACTGCTGTTTCTCAGAAGCGGACATGATTACTATATGCGCCTTAAATTAACGCAGTTCTACTGGAATGGCTGTTACCACAGAAAAAATCGAATTGTCGAAGAGAACTCATAATCAACTTGTGGACTAGACTGGAGGTGCACGACCTGGATCAGTGCATCTTTCGGGATGCGAAGTTTCGAAACCCTCATCACAATGTCTCCGTGAAGGGACTAACACCCGAAAGCGCATCCTTGTAAACAAGAAACAGCCTTCTGCATTTCCCAGTTCAACAGGATTTGCTCGAGATCCATGCATAAACAAGCTGATAACTCCAGATAGAACCACAAAATAACACATTTTGTATTTAAAAGTTTTGCGAATGAGATAGATCAGACGATGACCATCTAGAATCCACAATACAAACAGCAAAAACAAATCTCATCCAAGTGAATATTTGTCTTAACACAAAAAAATCGCATAAATGATGCCAGCCAGTTTAAGTATTTGACAAAAAGAGTGAATACATGTTCCTCATTCGGTAGGACCAGGCAAGGAAGAAATGAAGTCAAAAATAGCAGATAAAAACAAGAAATTTTAATGAAAGCGTCAGCTATGACGATGCACACTGAATACAATGGGTCTTCAGAAAAATCATGTTTCCTCACTTTGCAGTTTTCTTTGATCCGACTACGGGTAATTATGAAGTTATATATATTGTATATATCTGTGTGGAGCTAGTGTGGGAAAGCAATGATGTAGAGTGTGTAAAAGTGTAATTGTATGATCCGTTGTACTCTTGGAGAAGTTGTGACACGAAATTACGAAAGTTGAACCATGCTCTCCTATACATGAAGCTAGGAAATACTCTTCTGAACTACTTGAATTTGCGTGAACAAAGCTTCGCAAGTTGAGGGGCATCTCTACGAAAAGTACGTAGAAATTACCGAGTCGGACATTGTAGCAAAAATTATGGCAAATAAACAATCAAGACTGCATTTTAGCACAACTGCTATTCACTCTCATCTTTCCAGCTTATCGTTGATAACACTCGTGGGCTTAATAACTCCAGCATGGGGTTCGCAATCAATTCATTGTAAGAGCTTCCACTTGGGGTCCGCGCTGCGTGTCCGGGTACAGTAACGGGGGCGGGGCCGGACTATCACAGCAGGGCGTCGCAGCACATGCATTGCTATCACGGCGCCGACTGTGAGCAGCCCGGCCCGGCGAACTCCTCGAGTTCATCGTCTTTGCAACTTCCGAGCGAGTGCTGCACGGTGTCGGTTCGAAATCCCCTAAGGAAGTTTGGCGGCCGGTAGGCGTTTCCCCGCACTATTTGCACGAAAAAGACGAAGGGAATGAAAGAAATGTATTATCCAGTACTGAACAAGAACTCCGAGCCATAGCGACGAAGTAATTGGGGAAAATTCACATCAGACGAGATGCATTGATTTGCTGGCGCGAAGTCGTCCAAAAGCATGGGCTAACCAGGACGAATTAGATGTCCCAGAGGCAGCCTCGGCTCCATATCGACGTCGCTTGGCCGCTATTTACGTGGTCGGTCTGACCTCGCTGTTCCACCCGAGCACCGAGTGCTCTCTCACTCAGCTCTTGCCATCCTGCGTAAGCTTCTGTCGCACGCTCTCTGCATAGCCTCCCTTATTCTAGCCAAAACATCCCGACAAGAGATTAGCAGTAACAACGAAATGTGCTTACGGCGAGCATACATGGCGTGCCCCATATTAGTTTCGTCTTTCTCGTTCCACCAACTTGAAGCTGTCTGGACACGTCAGAAGATAGTCTCTTCCTTGCTGCTAGCAGCGCACCCTACACCCGGCTGCTGAATCATCCGCGCAGAGAACCCGCAATTTGGGACCTCACGCAGTGGAATGTAGCGAAATTTGTGTAATGCTATACTGTAACGGAAATTTAAGTCTGTAATTGTATTCTGTAGTGGCTCAAAACTTGCGGGTTTTCTTAATAGCTGAAGAAATGTGCTTCCTCCAGGTGAATGGCATTCTAGTGTCTTGTTGACAGTTGCGTAATATAAAAAGTGTTATGATGACAGCTACTTGCATGTAACATATCCTCGAAAAAAGCGAGGACCATCATTGCACCCACACTGTAACTTCAAACTAAGTTCAAAGATACACATTGTCCTCAAGCTGTTATCGTCTATCTAGGTCTATACCAGATTAGTGCACAGCGCTTGAGTTGAGTGCATAAGCAAGGCACCGCGTTCCATCCAAAAATATAGATTGCGGATCTATCCGCCGTCATCAACTCCTGAGTACGGTATTGCGGGTAATCCACACTGAACCTGTCGTAGTGTATGCAATTTCTGATGCAGTCTTCATCCGTCTGTTCTGGTTGGTCATAGAAGTGCGAAAGGCGGCAAATTCAAATTACAACACAGACGCATCCATCATCAGGGAGGGAAGCAAATGGTTTTTTTTATTGAAGTGGTGCAGGTGTGAACATGGGCTGAGTCATTGGATCAAGCAAATTTCCGCCTTCCATCCTCCCCGCCCCTTGCTTTGGGGGAGGGAGGGGGGTGTATGTGTCATTTGAAACGTTATTAAACACTAAAAATGCGTTAACTGGTGTTCATCTGACATTAAACGCCATTCTGAGGAGATATGCAGGACAGGGCTGATTAATACGTTTCGGACCGGTGCTGCACATGGTGCAGCACGCTGATTTGAAGGATCTTTCTGGCGTTTGCAGGAGGTTTCCTTTCGTCTAAAGTTGTTAAGTCAAAGGTCTAAGCTTCTACTTTTCAAATGACTCTGTAGAGTTGTGCCGCCGTTATTTGTTTAGGAGATATGAGCACAAATCGAACAACAGTTGCAACGAAGTGCGGCGACGCGAACGACGCGTGCGACGTCGCAACTTTCCTTTGCTTCGATATCAAAGAGAAAAACCCTAGTTTCAATACTGATGTGTACCGTGTACAACATAGATACTTTTGAATACTATTAGAATCTGAGTTCTTGTTCCTATCTTTCAAGAAAGCACAGAAGTCCCTCTCAAGCGACAAAATTCAAACACTTCGAATTCACTCAGAACTTTGGATATAGAGCTTATCTGACATGCTGATTACAAATGTGCCCCACAGGCTGCGAAATAAGGTCCCTTTGTAGGCTAACGGCTGAAAGTACGCTCTTTTTCGCCGCGCGCGATTTCGCGGTCCGAAACGTGTTAACCTTATCTATTGAAATAGATTCAAACCTGAATGTCAGAGGTCAAAAATTCGCGAAAGGTTTGCCCCCATTAATTTCGGCCACAGTCATTTGAGGTCTTGTTCTTTTGAAGTTTTTGTGGTTTTCAACAGCATTTGTTATACAAATAAAGCAGTGGGGGACTGAGGAAGGGGTGGCGTTAGGGGGAGAGGGGCGCTCCCCCCCCCCCCCCTTTCCCTTAACCCCCGACAATGGGTTGCGGAATTTCGGAAAGCTACTTACATGTGTTATAAAAATGTGCAAATGAATTGCTTACACTTGTAAAATATTGAAATAATCTTTGAGTTACTATATTTTCAAAATTCGAATTAGCCTTGTAAAAAAATTTTCCAGGGGCGTGGCTACCGCCACGCCACTTTCTTCTAAAATTTCGGGGGTCATGGATTCGCAGGAATCTTGTGAAACACCTTAAACAAATGTCTCGGAGTGCTGGCTGACGCCACGTAACTTCACTCAAATTTTTTTTCGTAACTCCCCCCCCCCCCCCCCGGTCGGAAATCTTGGGACCGCCACTGAAATGAAAATATATGAAATGCCTCCTGAAACAGAAATAGTTCACATCGACTCTAGAGCTTCTTCACCTCAGGTGTGGAAAATTTTTCATAGGAAACTTTGTGTTTCTTAACAAGCTTCTATCGAAGCCTTATGCTTCATCATCATGGTAAATCAAACATAACGCAATGTGGCAATCTAAGTATTGTGTCGCATTATGATGTGGGCTTACATGAGAGCGGATTGCAAAGCTAGTTCAGCTTGCTGTGCGATTTTGGAAGAATGCTTGATTACACACAGGAATCTATGCACAGATTGTTTGCTGTTAACATACCCCCTGGCATCAGTCGGTATCTCACATTTGTTGAACTAATACACATTTGATATAGGTTCAAAGCTTTGTTTTGTGATTTCACATCGCATCCAAAACTCACAGACTGAAGTGGACAGAAGCTACGGGCAATTTGTCGTATGCACAGGTCGGACGCCGTTGCGTCCGGCTAAGGTAGTCCGTGGATTGTCTCAAAATGTTTATTAGTGCTGATTTTCTCGCGCAATACACTTCATATATTTCTTGTCTTAAAATAGCATGCAGGGTACCTTTCTAGAGCAGCAAGCTCTATAAAATGGCATGTAATAGTTCGCACCAGCTTCGATACAATTCGAGTTGAAAACCAAAATCTAAGACGTTTCGGGTTCCCGGAAAATTTATAAGAATTCATAACTTCGTCTAAAAAAAACTTGCCAAATCTTCCACTCGTTCACGCATATACACTCCACATAGGACATTCACATACATATGTTGTTGGTATATTTCTTTGTGGGCTAGAAACCGAGAAAACCAACATTTTCAAGTTTATTGAAAAAACGATGCTGTGCTGTTCCCACATAAGTAAATGTCTACTACAAGCCGTTAGCGAAGCGATCGTAAATTTTCAGCTTCCTACAAGAACTGGTTTTTGAGAAATATCAGATTTAGCTTTCCTTGCTAGAGTGTTTTATGTTGAAATCAATGTTTCACAAGAAGTAGAGCTCGTGGAAAGCTATAAATTTGCTGTTATTTTTCTAAAGGCTTGTGATATACGTTACTTATTATACTTTAAAACGTATTGAATGATTATTTAATTATGCAGATAAACCCTTCAAATGCTTCGAAAATCCGTGTATTCGGAAATCTGAGATTTTGAATAATATTAGGTCGTTTCAAAAGTAACTTCGCTTTTTTCAAACTGGCGCCACATTTGTTGGAGTATTTCTAAAAGATCTTGGAGGCATTCGATGCAGAATTTCATTCTCTTTCTAATGGTTGTGAAATTGTTGCAAAACAATCAACGAGTTTTCAGAAAATAACCAAAATCTGCGACCTATGCTTTTGAAATAGTCAAGTTTCACAATTTTTTAAAACTTTCATATAACTCCTCAGAAGGAGTTCAAGAAACGATTCGATAGAGTAAGCCTCATAGAATACAGTAGTGGTTTTTTCTCCTTTCCAAATCCTCGCAGAACATCAAAGGAAGAGCAGCTCGGGCACTATTCGATGCGTTTTTTCCTCTTTCACGGCTATTTTTTGCTTCCGATTCGTTTAGTTTCCGAGGAGAAATCATCATACCTCATTTTTTTAGCGAGCCCCCAGGCTGTACCCGAAAAACTCGAAATTTGATATTTCGAATCCGTAAGCCCTCACTTGCTTTGTAAAATTAATGCTAACTTATAGTACCATCTTGGTAGTCTCAAATTCCGAAAAATTATGATGTTTGATGCGATTGTGGCTGAAGTGGGCCTGCCAAAATCCGATGGTTCTGTTAAAAAATCTTTCAAAAAATTACGGCGAGCTACGAGAAAGAGAAGAAAGTAATAGTGTAATCTTTAAGGCTTACTCTATCGAATCGTTACTTGAACTCCTTCTGAGGAGTGATATGAAAGTTTTGAAAAATTGTGAAACTTGACTATTTCAAAAGCATAGGTCGCAGATTTTGGTTATTTTCTGAAAACTCGTTGATTGTTTTGCAACAATTTCACAACCATTAGAAAGAGAATGAAATGCTGCATCGAATGCCTCCAAGGTCTCTTAGAAACCTTTATTCCATCAAATGTGTCGCAATTTTGAAAAAAGCGAAATTACTTTTGAAACGACCTAATAAATTTTCGTTTTCGAGATTGTTCGAAAGTCGTGCGAAATTTTCGATTTTCGAATAGTGTTCGATATTCGAATATTCTAGAAAAAT